CAATGCCCTGACTTGGAAGTGCTTCTGAGATTTCCAAGTTGTGACTTCTGAAGACTGGTAGAAATACACCTTGATATTCAAGAAATATAGAGGCTAAACAGAAAAAATTGAGACGGTCTAAACAAGAATGATGGGCCACAAAGTTGTATATACCTGTGACATTTAATGACATAGGGAAGCATTTAACCCCCACCGCTAGCTCTGTTAAGTCCATAGAATAAACATGTGCGTGTATGTCTCTCTACAAAGAAAAGTCTGAATGGATAAGTAGAAAATCTTAAGATTGTAGGTCATCTAAATACTATTTTTCTTTATTCTATTGCATATTTTTATTTTTTAAATGCAGTTTATTATATTAATACATACTGAGTGTCTATAAAATCTCCAGCAACTTTCTAAGAGCTGGATGATAAGTATATATTTGGTTTATAACAGACATTAAACAATTTTTGTTAGTTGAATTATTTACCTAGGGAATGCTAACACCCCAAGGGAGGAGGTGATATGCGGAGGTCACTGGGTCAGCCTCCCAGCTCTTTAGCAAAGTCTAATTCAGGCAAACAATAGAAAAGGGGATTTCAAGGTTTCTTCTACAAGGTGAGGAAGCTCTATAAATACAACTGTAAAGATGCTTAATCACACCCCTTGGAAGTGAGCGTTCTCCTGGCATTTCACCAAGACATTCCAAAGCGAAGCAGAACTTTCTGTCCTTTAGAAAAAGAGGAAGGAAGAAAAGAAAAAGAAAGCAACAAAAGAAAACAGAAAGGAAGAAAAAGAATAAAAGCATGCAAGGATGCTTCCCTAGTTATTAGAAGAGGAGGTTCACTGGCAGCTGCTTAGTCTATTTGCATTTGAGTACGTGTTCACCCACCCAAGCTGGGCCTTTGTCTCAATATAAATACATGTATTTGAACCCTTGCAGAATGTAGTTAAGAGCCAAGATGTAATTCCTTCAGGTTTATTGAATTCACAGTACCCACTAAATTAAAAATCACATTGTTCTTCTTTGTAGCTACTGGGTTCTTGGAAGATCACTCTACATCTAGTGCGGAGCAATGACAAAATGAAAAAGACTCCCTCCCAGCAGAATGCCGTGTCCACTGGTTACATCAGACAGAAAGCTTTTACCTGTAATTAAGTAAGCCCATTACCAGCTTTAAACCAGTGCCTGACCTGACATGAATTAGAGTCACAAAGCACATCACCTTTAGTTGGCCTCTATTTCATTCTTTAAATTGGGCCCCATTACAATCAAGTGATCAGTAAAAAGAATACCACAAACAGTATCCCGTCTATTTGTCAGATATTATAGTTGATCATCCTTGTGGCTGCAGAAAGCAAGAAGCATTACTCTAACCTTTGGGTCCATCTTCTGAAAGCACAATATATCATATTTACTTTATGACTTTCTGTGCATAAGGCACTTACTTCTTTCTATGCCCTCGAAGATGGCATGGCTATAAATGTATATTCAGATGCCCTACGAATATAATACCTGTGATAAGTATTCCTTTTGATAACTTTAACTGCCTCCGGCTTTGTGGAGGTGAAGAGCAGGGCAGCCGTAGCTCCTCAGGATGACTGTGCTTTATTTCTGAGAATTGCAGCTCACATTAACACATCAGCTGCACAGCCCTCTCATCCATCATTGGCCACTCTGATAGACCAGAACATTGGATGTTCCCCCAAAACACAGAGCCTACTAGAGCAGAGCTCTAGAGATGGGGGTCAAGCTGCGCTGAATTTTGAAAAGCCATTAACTTGGACATTTCTGTGGTGTGCCACCTTAGGAAGATAACTTGTTTCAATTCTTTATTCAGTTGTTAAAAATGTAGATAAGGGCACCTATGATTGTAAAGGATAATGCATAATTTAGCCCAATTGGTATACAGTGTGGTCTCCATGGGATAAATGCCAGTTAAACAGCACTAAAATGGTGTTTCTCTAGACCTGAAATATGTAATACAGTTCTCTACAAACGATCTCTTTGTTCCTAATTTCACAAACCAAGGGCTCATCAACACTCCCTTGAGAGCTGTTGTGAAGACTGGGAGGGGAGACAACAGGACCTCCTGGCATCTCCTCCCAGAACTCAGGCCCCTGCGTGCACAGCTGCTTGTGTGGCTCTGGCCCTTCCCCACCTGGTCCCCTTATGGAGCCTTGTCTCTTTCTAGGCCATTCTGAACTGCTATCCTGAGAGCCATCAACCATTTTCAAGGTCAACACTGGCAATTCAGACCCTCTGTGAGTACTCCTTGGCATTGTGTATTTACAAAACCTCCGACCTTACTCTCTCTGCTCATATCAATTCCTGCTTAACGTACTCGGCTCATTAAGAAGTATGTTTTGTTTAACATTTGACAATCTTTAAATGTAGAAATAGCTAAAGAGGCAGCCGCTGGGTAAGTCCCTTCCTGCTCTGCAGCATTCTATCTCATGTTGCGAGGAGACAGCTTCTCAGGAGGAGCTATAAACCTCTTTGCTATAAAAATTCCAGAATGTCCAAAGGAATGGGTATAAGACGCACACAGCTGACCCCAAAGAAGGCAGGATGTGTCCCTTGTCCGCGGCATTCCAAACTCCCCTGTGCAGCTGCTTCATCCGGAACCCTGACCAGAAACAAAGGCTGGAAAGTTACCGCTTGGCCTTCAAGAGGGTGCTGAAGTGAGTCTGGAAAGTGGTAGACAGGACAGCTGCTCCCTGCCCTGCAGACGGGGTTCTCGAAGTCATGCCTGACTTTAGCAACCTGTTGACAGTGATGAGTCTGAGATAACAGAAAAGGCTAACAGTGCCAGTGACAACAGCTGGTCACAAAGCTTCATTTGCAGGTTACATGCCCACAGTCACACACACACACACACACACACACACACACACACACACACACACCTGCCCCAAATGGTATCAAGAATCTACAGTATGGGGCCCGGCAGTGGGTGGCGCATGCCTTTAATCTCAGCACTTGGGAGGCAGAGCCAGGTGGATTTCTGTGAGTTTGAGCCAGTCTGCTCTACAGGACAGGCACCAAAACTACACAGAGAAAACCTGTCTCAAAAAACAAAAAACAACAAGAAAGAAAGAAAGAAAGAAAGAAAGAAAGAAAGAAAGAAAGAAAGAAAGAAAGAAAGAAAAGAACCTACAGTATACAAAATTAAGAAGCAAAAGAGAATACACCTAAACATGGGGGGGTGTTGAGAAGGTGCTTGGAGATACTTTTCTTTTTCTTTTTTTTTCAGAGCTGAGAACTGAACCCAGGGCCTTGCGCTTGCTAGGCATGCGCTCTACCACTGAGCTAAATCCCCAACCCCCCCCTTTTTAAAAACTTATCTGTTATTATTCTACTTATCCATAATCATGAATTGTTCCAATAGCTGACAGAATCATTCCAAATATAAAAATGAGTTCATGACATTTTGTAAAAAGGGAAAAAGATACAGTCAAAATACAGTACTCTAATTTTGAAAGGCAACAGCTTTCCCTGCAAAAGAGATATTTATTATCGTGTTGATAGACATTGGTAATAAGTAACTAAGAAGAAGCGTTCCAAATGTTGCATTAGGCAGACTGCCCCCTCTCCCCCCCCCCCCCCCCCCCCCCCCCCGCCCCACCCCTTCTCCCTGGGTCAAATCTGCCTGCCTTCCTCCTTTCTGTGAACTGTTCTGGTTAGTCCTGGAGGACTAGGGAAGTTGGATGGGGGCAGGTGTGAGGAGGGTCAAGGGTCACAAACCAGGTTAGTAACTGAAATAAACAACTTGTGGACTGCTCTGAGAGCCTGTTGATCTATACTAGGCCTCTGTGGCTGGACACACTAAGACACAGTCCAGAGAGGAATCCAGTGAAAAACCTTGGCTTTGAGGAAATCAGTGTATCTTCCCTTAGGAAGAAACCTCTTCTCTCAAGGCAGCTTAGGGCAAGACTTAAAAACTGTGTGGGTTTAACATCTTCAGCCTAGGTGCTGAGGACTCAATTTTCATTTCCTGTAACCTTGCTATCCCCCTGTTGGCTTCCGAAGCTCAGAGGAAACCTTTCTGACCCATTTCATTGGTTGGAGCTTCTGGGTCTTCCTTTAGAGACCCCCCAAGCCTTCCTCTCCTGGGATCCAGATTTGGCTGCGTCCTGCACATCCCTAAGGGCAGGTACTTAAGAAGCAAGAACCCACATTAACTGTTGTCTGGAGCAAGTCGGTGGGAGAAGGGGCTAGAGAGGTCACCCTGGAGTGAGTGAGGTTGGAGAGCACGCCTAGAATGCTTAGCTTCAAAATCATGGTCAGGATTTTCTACAGGGTTGGGCTGGGTCCAGTGTAGACGCTATGGGCTTCCAGATCACCCAGGCCTCTCCAGCCACATCAGTAACTTCAAGGTCAGTGATCTCAACCTGTGGGTCGCTATCCCTTTGGGGGTCCAATGACCCTTTCACAGGGGTCACATATAATATATCATGCATAACAGATATTTACAATACAATTCATAGCAGTAGCAAAAATTACAGTTATGAAGTAGCAACAAAAATAATGTTATGGTTGGGGGTCACCACAACTTTAGGAACTGTATTAAAGGGTCGCAGCATTAGGAAAGTAGAGAACCACTGTTCTAGGTGAATGGAGTTTTCACTTGTTCGGGCTGGAGGACTGGAGAACAGGGAGAAAATGCTAGTAGGGCCTATTTGAAAAACAGGCCAATCATATAGACGGTAGGCACTTTCGAAACCTCCATGCACTATCATGACCAAGAGGGATTTCAGACACCAGGAGATGGCGCCCAGAGAAAAGAATGCAAGGGGAGAGATAGCTTCCAGAGTGCCAGGTTACCCAGAAGTAGAGGGGCCCTATGCTGGGCTTGCACCACAGACCACAACATACAGCTTCTCCACCCCAGATGGGCGTCCTTTGCGCCCACAGCTAGTTCAGGGGACTCACTCCACTCCAGTCCCTAGCGCTGCGCAGGAGCGAGCGAGGTGGGCCCGCTAGAGACCCCGGGGTTATAGGCCTGTGAGTTGGGTACCTTGGTGCCCTGGTAGAAGTCGTCTACTGACTGAGAGCCCATGAACGGGAACTGCATGTGCGTGTGTGTGTCGATGCCTCCGGGTAGGACCAGCTTGCCCGCTGCGTCCAAGATGCGCAGTCCCGGGGTTGCTTCCCCGAGAGGCAGCAGGTCCTGCCCCAGCGCCCGGACCACGCCGTCCTCCACGAGCACGTCGGCCACCTGTGAGAAGTCATCATTGACCACGCGACCCCCGCGGATGAGAAGTCTTCCCTGCGGTGCCATGGCCAGGGGCGCTGGGGATCTATCCACCCGGGACTGCGAGCCTCCGCAGGGGGACTGCGAGCCGGGGAGACTTTCCTTTGAAGTCTCCACGAACTGTGCCCAAACTCCCGCTCCCGCTGGGCTGCAAGGGTTTAAGTGCTGGACACAGGTGTGGCTCCACCCCAGGGGAGGGCTGGCCTGCCACAGCCCTGCACAAAGTCCTGAGCACAGCCCCAGGCTGTTGCACTCAATCTGGGTGTCCATCGAGTTTCTGAGTCAATAGAGGGGAGAGGTCTTGGAATTTGAAGACTGCAGGGGCTTACCTTCCTAGGGAAGGTACTTTAGTGACAGATAGAAATTGACTTGGTTCCTTGGTGAGGACTCTACACCAAAAGACAGAGGGAGCCCGCGTGAGTCCACAGCACCAGCAGCAGTAACACCTCAGAGCAGACCCACGTGGACCTGGCTCCCCCTTCACAAATCCAGAGCAAACCACCGCAGTGTCTGTGACTGGCAGGCTGTGCCGGCATGTTTGGGATTCTGGTGTCCAGATGGATAAGCACAGGAGAGGATGGCGCTGAACAGAGGCAGACTCTAAACAGGGAGGGAAGGCCTGAGAGAGCTGACCAAGGCAAGGGCGTGATCTACAATCGCCTGAGAGACGGACCTCTGGGCAGGCTTGTGTCAAATTTCCCCAAGTATCAGCGTATCCACGCCTCAAAATGATTAAAAACCACTTGGCTGTCAAGCCAGGGGGGAAAAACACCAAAGCCTCAGAAAGCTTATATAATTATTATCAAGAGACCTTTGTGTGCTGGTGAAAGGGGTAATTATACACACAAAGAAACTCCTACGAGCTGTGTGAGTCAATACCCCCCAGGAGAGTGCGATTGGATGTCCCTGCCACAGTGACAGTCTCCGAAATTGTCCAGATGAATGATTTCAAAGGTTTCTTTACCTTGGACACTTTGTATCATGACACAGCACAACACAGACTCCCCACATTTGATTAACTCGAAGCTGGTGGGGTGTCTCAGAGGTGGGAGGAAATGGCTCATTGAGATTCTCAGACAACCGCAGAGGAGGAAAGAGAGCGAGTTTAAGAAGGATGCTGGCTGCTGGAACAGGAGGCTGTCGCTGGTCTGGAGGCACCCTTCCCACTCAGCACCTTCAGGATGGAGGCTGAGCCTGGACCAATGTGTTCAGTCTGGGAGCTCGGCCTCCACACATGGTCGCCTCTGTTTCTGCTGACACTCCAGGCCCCTGACTCCCTACTGGGAGAGAACTTTCTGGCCTGATAATGAGCTTCTCCCTGGATGGGTGATGGAAGTGAGATTTGGGGACACAGGCAGAACCGAGGGTTGGAATGAAAATGAGTGAGGAGTTAGGATTGGGACTCTGGCTCGGATATGAACTGCTGTGGAGCTTGGGGCAGACACTCCAGGGCCTCGTCCTGCCTACGTGAAGAGTGATAGCTAGGACAACAAAAGGTTACAAGCCCACCCTTCTGCATCCTTTTACATTCTGAGAGGCTTCAAACAGAGGCTGCTCGGTATTTCTAGAATTAAACTCTCCTGAAGGCTTCAGCAGCGAGCTGGAGACTAGGTAGGGTTTGTTTTATAGACTCAGAACCATTTTATCTCTGGTTCTTCAGGCTGGGTCAAGAGTCTCGGTTGGGAAGGAGCTGTGATTAATGCCACAGTGATGCCAGGCAGCCAGCCGACAAGTATCACGGCTTGCATATTTGTGTCTTGTGTTTTGAACGTGAAGTGTCCTCCAGAGGCTCCTGGGCTTGGACCTTTGGCCTCCAGCTCATGGTGGGTTTAGAAGGCCGGAGCATCTTTAGCAGATGCAGCATCAGTTTAGAGGAAGCAAGTCACTAGGGGCATGCCTGGAGGTTTGGGAGCTGTCCCACTTCCTGTTTCTCTCGGCTTCGTGACTACAGCTGCAGTGTGACCTGGTTTGAGTTCCCTCTGCCATGCTTTCTCCAGGACACACTCTGTCCCCCTGACTGAGACAGAATAAACCCTTCCTGAAGTTGCTTCCTGTCAGGCACTTGGTGAAGCAAGAAAGCCACTTTCTAATTCATGTTGACCCAATTCATACAATTATATTAAGGCAGAATACACTGGGATTTACTGCAACTTAGAGGGGAACCCTGGGAGTCTCTGGCTGGAGACAGGGGAGCAGGCTCCGTTTCAGAGTCATTACAAGGCTATGTGTGTGTGTGTGTGTGTGTGTGTGTGTGTGTGTATGGTTTTTTGAGACAGGGTTTCTCTGTGTAGTTTTGGTGCCTGTCCTGGATCTCACGCTGTAGACCAGGCTGGCCTTGAACTCACAGAGATCCGCCTGGCTCTGCCTCCCGAGTGCTGGGATTAAAGATGTGCGCCACCACCGCCCGGCCCTATATTATCTTTATAAAGACAATAGTCTTGGGAAGACTGGTCACCTGGGTGTGAATCAGAGAAGTGGCACCAGCCGTGGGCAGACAAGGCATGACCTCCGTGCCTGAAGATGTGTGTCTCATGCCCCTCTGCATGAGACATACAACTCACATTACATCTGTTTTTGCTGGAATAAAATTACTCTTGTGAACTGTTGCAGACACAGTGACTGTGTTGCTGTGGGGGAAATAATAACTACTTGTCTATGTGTTAAGTCACCAGCCACTCAAGGCCACTGAGCTGCGAAGTTCTGGCGAGCAGAAGCCCTGTCATACGTCATTTGGGATGCAAAGGTCGATTGTAGAGGGTTGCGTAAGGCGAACTTTATAACTTGGTGCACTGGGACTCTATGAAGGGGCGTTTAGTCTGTATTAGTGATGTAATCAAAACTGCCTTTTAAACTCTTTGGAGTTCAGAACTCAGCTTTAGCTTCTTTTACATTTCAATTCTCACTTTTTACTTCAAAGTTTGAAAAGTTGTTGAACCAAATGACTATCAAAGCAACGGTAATGCCGATGTGCACCACTAGATGGCGCTGCGCCTTTGTAGTCTTCTTGGCAGGCTAGGCCACTGTGCTGCCGCTGACCCAGACCACAGCCGGCTTCCTGAAACCTTACCTGTGTGTTTGGTTTGCTCTCGTCCTTGGAATTGAGTATCTACATCGATACGGAATTGTTAGTCTTTCCTCAACCTTGACTAGTACATCCTTTCGTGGACATCTGTAAGTCATATAATAATATAATAAATGTCATCATATAATAAAATTGTGACATTCTGGATTTATATGATAACTTTCTTTTTCATTGAGCAAATTTTCCATATTATGATAAAGAAAAACTGTATTGAGAGTGATTATTCACCTAAAAGAGATTATCGTTGGGACTCCTTCACATAATGAGCCCCTGTCTTGCATCTCCAACATTATGTCCTACCTTTGATTTTCATAATCTTATTTGGGACTTAGCTTTCACATCAGCTACAGTGTTTATATCAAATATAGTTGACGTGTGTTTGAACATCTGCAGAAAAGTCAAGCTGTTGACCCCACAAACAATGAAGGAAAAAAGTAATGAGATAGATTCCAGCAATCTGTAACTCTTTGAAATTCTTGTGTCTTCTACCCATTGTTTCTCATTCTTTATCATCTAGTTGTTCCTATCAACGTTTACCTTTCTCTGTGGGAACATACCTTGGCATATGATACATGAAAAGTCTGAACAAATGGCCTTTTGGGGGAAAATGTGTTTTTATTGTTATAATCTAAAACTTTGGATGTTCTTGTGAGAAAACAAAAGCATATTGATTATGAAGGAAGTGTAAGTACACACCTTCTCAAGGCACTGATTCTTCATTTATAGTAATTTTAAAAATGCAAGCAGCCTTTGTGAGTGACAGAGAAGTTTCAGATTCATAGCCACACACTTAGGAGTTTAAGAGGGAAAAAAAAGGCAAATGGACTGTAACTCTCCTTCCAACTCCTTCCAAGTCACGAGCCCGTGCCTTTCACAAGATTCACATGTGTCTTGGATACTCCATCCCCAGTGACAGACTTGGGAAGGCTTATGGACAGTGTGCCTTTACTTTCCCAGCCAGCCCAGTCCTGTCCCGGGAGAGGCCTGGTGCTCTTTTGTGTGGATACACAGGCCTGTGGACACTTTATCCATCTGCAGGGAAGACAGACCAAGCAGAGAGGCCAACCAGTCTGTACTACATGTCAGCCATTTTGACAGAAAATTCTGGGATTGTAGGTGCCAAAAAATTTGGTCTACAATTGAGTGAGGTGGTAGCCTGGCTCCCTGCTGCCATGTGTTCCTGTCCCTTAGGGAAGCCTTTGATAGATATCAAAGGAAGATTGATCCAAGGCAGGTCTCACGGTGTCAGACAAGAGAAGGGCCAGTTAGAACAACACCTGGCTCAGAACAGGCCCTCCATAACTATCTGTGAACTATTTGGTGACATAATTGAGAACTTGAGGCATGGGTTTAAGCCTTTTCATGTTCTTTCATTTCCACAAGAGCTCCATGGGGTGGCGGCAGCTGGGAGATGGTCCAGTGCTCGAGATGCCAGTGTGAAGACCAGGATTTGGATCCCCAGAGTCCACCTCAATGCTGAGTGGGCACTCCAGCATGGGAAATGCAGAGACGGGGGATTCCCCACAACAAATGGGCTAGCTAGCTCAGTCTATCCATGAGCTCCGGGTTCATATAGAGACCATCTCAATGAGTACAGAGCACAGCAATCAAGGATGATTCCACACACAAGAGCTTCAGGCCTCCACAGGCAGGTGCACACACATCCGTCATACACACTGGCATCCACACATGCATGGACACACATGTGAAAAAAAAAATGAACCGAATCAGGTGGGAAATACCACTTTCACTTTACAGGTGAGAGCTGCGACTCGGGGCTCCAGCCGAAGTAACAGACTGCTTTGATCTGATTTTAAGGCTGTAGGAGGCCACGATCATCGCATTAAATCCATCACATGGTGATGTGCAGTATTTTGTTGCTTTTAATTTGATAAAGTCTATTCTTGCAGGATAAGTCAAGTTCTTTATAGAACAGCTTTGGAAA